AGTTTATAAGTAATATAAGCGTCTGAGTGATTATTTTATACGTGGATTGTGGGACTGTGGGGCTTGGTGGAACTTGGAGAGAAGCCCTCCAGTAACACTTCCCAAGTTGCTTTAGTCATGGTGTTTCATCACAGCAATAGTAATCCTAAGACGTGTGTACATACAATAGTGTACATGCATATATATGTCTGTGAAGGAGAAAGAGAAACAGAAGAAAGAAATGGAAAAAAATGAATAATAAAGAGACAATAGAGACACAAGTTAAGATAAACAAGAAGGAGGGTAGCATAAAGAGAACACAAACAGAGAAACACAAAAGGTGACTGAGAGAAACTGAGAATGGCAGAGACACATGTAAGACCAAGTAAGGGAAAAAGACAGGACACAGATGAGAAATAGAAGCCAATCTACAATAACTGCAGGAGAAAGAGGTGGGAGAAGACAAGGGAGAGAAGGGATAGAGGTAGAGAGAGAACAAGAACTACAGAGAAACAGAAAAGGAGATGGGAAGAGCAGAAACTGCTGAGACGCATTTGATGCATTTATTCCAAATTGCCTTTTGCCTCCTCTTCCGTCTCCTGCGTCTCTTACCTTCCAGTTTTCCGGGATGCTGTTTCAAAGAATCTGGTCCTGGATGCCACCCTGCAAATAGAAGCCAGAGCTATAGTAAAATACATGTGAGAACCAAGGACCAATGGAAAGGTCCTACTTTCCCCACTACTTGGCTGGCAAAAAGCCAAGGATCTGGGCAAAACTCAGAATGAGAAATGGTTCCAAAGCCATACGCATCCCAAGGCAACAAATAAGACCCTTTACTACTTATTGATCCAGAATGGTCAAAGTTTGTGGTCCACTCAGACCTGTCTTTTGAAAACTAAGTGAAAACAATCTTTGGTTTCCAAGTGTGGTTTAGGGCACTTTGTAAATATGCTTTGTTAATCAGCTGAAGTTGTAGCGGCTTTGTTCCTTCCCTAATTTTACAATTACCAGCAATAAAAGACACAAGAAAAAGGAGGATCAGGGGGCAATGTGCTAAGAAGGGTCCAGGAGGCAAGTCTGAGGAGGGCCAAGCAAAGCTGGTTCCTTAGCTCTGCTTCTTCCCTGGCTCCCCAGCTTACTGCCCAGCTACCAGAGGGACTACTGGATGTCAGCTCAGCTCCTGTACTGAGAGAGGATCTTTAGGGGACCTGAGTCATTCTGGAAAATTTTTTTTAAATGTGTCCTTTTCTTGAAGAAAAAGAAAAGAAAGAAAGAAAGCTCCAAGCACAAGTACAATGACAAAAAAATGTACTCATTAAATTACTTTAAAACCAGTAGCAATAGCACAAGATAAAGAAAAGATTTCTAGAGCAAAAAAAAAACTGAAAGTAATTTTTCTACTTTACAGACATCAGGGCAGCTAAGAAAAAGAATGAGTCTTTAGATGAGACTTCGAAAAAGTCTTCATCTCTAGTGAAATAGCTCAGCTTTGGGTGTTGAATGGAATACTTCACACAGGGATGACAGTGGATAGTCTCCCAGATTATGAAGAGAATGATGCTCCAGAGTTGTGTGCTGTATACACTTAGCAACCAGAGATGGAGACCCTGACAGCATCTCTAGTGGCCAGCACAGGCCTTAGGTCAAGTTGAGAGACAATGTTACTTACACAGATGATGGGATTTCCCCTGCACTGCCAGCCACAGTATCTGGCTTTGGTTCTGGCTTTTGTGAAGTACTGGCCCGACAAGGAGGGTCTGGGGGCCTCACTGGAGGACGGATGATTGTTTGCTTTTCTCCTGGGGGCCGAACTTTGCTGAAGCAGTCAGTATCTCCTAAAAGAGAAGACAACACCAAGGACATGACTAGTCAGCCAAATAGAACACTAAGCATCAGTAGGTAACCTGGGATTGGCTGGGCCATGTTCTCTGGTCCCTATTTCTTCTTGGCTAACAACAACTCTTTATTTTTGTTTTCAAATTCTTCTGGCTGCTGTCCTTTAGAAAGCCTACATTTAAACCTGGACTGTACAACTTCATGTACCTTACGTTTGTTATGACTTTCCTAATTCTACATTTCCTTGGTTTTGTAATTCAGAGTAGCAACATACCAGTTTACAGAAATTGAAGGCATTAAGTTAGGAACTAATATGTTTACTACAGTGCCAGTCACATAGTAGGTGATTGATGAGAAACTTGAATTTGATCAATTCATAACCACTAAAATCCAGATCCTGAGACTGGAGAAATGGCTTAGTAACTGAAAGAACTTACTGCTCTTGCAAAGGACCCAACTTGGGTTCCCAGCACCCATGTCAGGAGGCTTATAAGAATCTGTAATTCCAGATCCAGGTGATCCAACATTCTCTGCTGGACTCTGTGGGCAGCTGTACTCATATGCACATCTATGTACACATAATTGAAACTAAATAAACTAAAATAATTCTCAAAAGGTCCTTTTCAGTACTAAAGTACTCTCGTAACTCACCTTCCTACCTCCACAATTCTGGCTTACAGGTTAATCATAAGATATAAACATATAGATTTTATGAAATGGTACTGGCAAGATTATGACAAAAAGAGATGGACTCACATACTGCTGGTGGCAGTATGAACTTACTCTATCTAGATACCTATCAAGCATTCTGGAACAATCTGGATGAAACACATCCATGCATAGGCAATAATTCAGACTTGTTTATCCAGTATTTCTACTTTGGAAAAAAAGCTCAAAGAAATTCATCCAAGATAAAAAATAAGAAAAATCAATTGGCACAAAACATACTCTAGTCGCAAAACATCAGACACAACTACAAAGGCTAAACAAACAATTTATTCTTACAAGCAATTAACCAATAGATATCACATATAAACTGACAAGTATTTGAACAAGGTCAAGACAAAATATGTATCTGAAATAAAGTAAAAATAAATCCATAAAGCTGGGCATGGTAGCTCACATCTATAATTCCAGCACTGGGTAGTCTAAAGCAGAAGGATTGGCATTAGTCCAAGGCCACCTTGGTCTACATAGTGAGTGCTGGGCCAGCCTAAGCTACAGAGTGAGACTCTGTCTCAGCAAATAAAGGAAACAAAACTCCACACAAAAAGTACTTGCGTCTCAATGAAGACAATATTAATAAAGCCATATGTGTAACAATGCAAGTGCATCAGATCTTGATATTTGCTTAATGTTAGGAAATCTTGATTTTCATTCTTTCTTCAAAATGTTTAAAGTAAAAATAAGACATTAAATTCCATCTGTATAATACTGCTTGCTGTAGGATTTACTTAAGTTTACATAGTTTTATTTTTCTTCAAGTCCTTCTTAGTAGCTCTAAAATGCAAAGGGTAAAGTTTAAACTCTTCAACATAAGTTCAAGACCTCTTTTAAGCTAGCTCCAAATTATTGTCACAGGAATAATCATTGGACATTATCTACCAAGTCTACTCTATCAAACTGGTTTCTTCACCACCCCATCAAAACAAGTGTTAATTTTAGATCATATAGTATACTATAGAAGAAAGTACAGAGGGTCTAGAATTGTGAAGACCTGGATGTGTGGCTTTATTCTGCTACTTCCAAGCAGTGAGAACCTGGACAGTGATTTAATATCTACCATTTTCTCATTTGGGAAATGGGTTTATAACAATGTCATTTCACAAGATGATTATAAGAATTAAGTTAGATGATATAGTGTCCAAAACAAGCAGGGGTAAGTGAGCATTATACCATTTTGCTTCTTTCCTTCTATGTACTCCTGAGCTCACATCATAACCACTATATCCATTCATAAGAGTGGGTAGGAGTAGGGAAATACAATACTAAGGATGTTTGAAAAGGCCATATGAAGATCTATCATTTTATATGATTCCTAAATACATAAAATAATTAAATTGGAGTTTCCATACACAGGGAACAAAGTACCTTCTAGAAGCCATCGGTTACCAAATAAAAAGCATGGTGCCAGGAGTGAGGTATATCACCTCAATTTGTTGGTCAGAAGTGTCTTTGAGACCCCAGAACAATATAGTCTATTGCAATTACTCTTGGCTGCCCACCAAAACATGATGATAAGACCCTATTGCTGAAGATACCACATACTTTGGACACAGAGTGGAGAAATTAAGTTAGTACTTGACCAGGAAGCCTTCTCTCTGATGGCTAGCTTTCATAATACTGCTTGGGGGGCAGAGTTACCAGCAGTCATACCTAGTTGTGAATCCTATATGGTAAAATAACAACTGGCCTGAAAAGATATGCTCGTAGGTGAAATAATGGCATGAATGTTATAGGGGTAACCAATTACTTTCTGATTGGATTTAGGGTTTCCACAGGAGGAAGAACATGCCTAGCACTGTAAGTATGGTCTCAAACCCATGGTTGCAGAGTTCACTAGGCCAAGGGGTAAAACCTACTACTATCACTTTGCTAAATAGACATAGAATTAAACTGCCCTCTAATCTGTTTCTCTGTATACACAGATTAATGTAGCTTTCAGATATCATCAGAGCACTTTATTTGTTCAATGGATAACATTTAACATGGAAACTCATAACTAGTCAAAGTGCAGAGAATAGGTGCCAGTGGTTTCACCTTTCTCCTTCCCAAGGCTCAGGAATCATTGCAGAAGAAAGACTGGAAAGATTCTAAGAGTAATGCAGAGTCTTCTGGACAGTGCAGGACTGTTTCAGTCATAAGCCCACAGCAGCTGTGGTTTTGTGCACAAGACCTGCATAAGATCAGGCTAGTCAACATTCCAGGATGGAGATGGGAGGGGCATGTAAGCCCACACCTAGGTGAGGAGCTACTGACCGCTGAGAGCTGCTAGGGAAGTGTGGGAGCCCGTTCTCGAGTTCCTCGTGGCTTTACCCAGCAGGTCCGAATAGAGGATGATCAGGACCACGGGCCTGAGTGCAGGTGTCTGAGATGGTCTGCACTTGGCTGTGCTGGGGGAGGAGGTCTTTTGCTCCACCCCTTGGCGTCTCTATAAAAACCCTGGAGCAGAGACAGTCAGGGCCCATTGGAAAAGGTTCCAGGCCCTCTGGAGGCTATCCTTTATTTTCTATCTGTTTATCTCCGCGATATTCTCTGCTATAAATCCTTCTATATAACATTTCCTGCTGCTCGCACTCAAGAAAACTCCAGGGAGCTGTGGGGTTGGTGGGTAAATGCCCCACAGGGAAGGGAGAGTCAGTTTTCTTTGCACTATGGCTCTCAGTAGAGCAAACACATTCTAGTGGATGGCTCCCATACTCAGGAGTATGTGGGCTGCACAAATCAGACTCAGTAGGTTTTATAAAAACAAAAGAGAGGAAATAAATTTGAAAGGGGTGAGAGGATGGAGGGATCTGGGAGGAGTTATGGGAAGGAGGGGGGTAAATATTATAAAAAATATTATATGCAAGTATCAAATTTGCAAAAAATTAATAAAAATACTATAATTATGTTTTACAAGACCCAGCTCAGATCTGAGCTACATATTAAAATAAATTATCCACTGAGAAATCTCAGGGGAAAAGGTAGGATTCTGATAGTACAGTGTAAGTAGTACACTAGTAGAGGAATGAGTAAAACATTATTCCTGTTTACAGAAAGAATTTCTATCTCCACATCTAGGCTCTATCTTACATTTAAGGGTGATTTTGTACAATTGCATTAGAAAAAAATAATCAAAGTAATAATAATTGATTTTTTTCCCCTAACAAATTGATACTGTTTGGAACATTCTCCCAGATGATGTTCATAGTAAGCTGAGAAGGAAAGAATAAAGACGTCATGCCATTTCTACTTTACAGAGAAGGAAACTGAGGCTCAGAATGGTAAATCCACTTCCCCATTACATGTATGCTTAGATTGTTTTCGTATTCACTTTTCCTCTGGTGTCTGCTTATGTTGTTATTAGTAGTAGTAATATAAAATTGCAAATGATAACAATAAAAAAAGTAAAAAATAGTTACTATTTATTTGTATTGACTGATTTTGCAGTACAGGGATTAATCCCAGGGTCTCACACAGTTCCAGTTCTGGCTACTTTTATTATGAAACACCAGTTGTATTCCAAGTAGTGTAACACTGCGCTTAATGCTTTTTACACAGTTTGCATAGATAAGATTGGACATCATTCTGCACAGATGGTATGCCTTTTCTACTATTGAGGAAGACACTCCAAAATGAAAAGGAACCTCAGCATTTACCACTAACAGATCCATGCGCATGTGATTTCTGAAACCTATGTTGTTTCAGGCCCCAGTGGTGCAGTGGATTTCAACCCTGGCTACACATTAGAACGTGTGAAGACCTTTAAATATACAGTAACCGGATCCCATCCTCAGCATTCCTCGTTCGACTGGAGTAGGACTTGCTCATGAGTATTTCAGTGTTCCCCAGGTACATGTGATGATGGGCAGTGTGAGCTGTAAAGTTATAAGCCACACAACACTGCTTCCTCATTGCAGGTCACAGATGACCAGCGATGACAGTGATATCCCACTTCTACTGGTTACTGGAGCGGGGAGTCTGCTAGGAAAGATACTATACTTTTTGAGCCAGAAAATGTTTCTACCTGAAGTCATGCCTATCCTAGGGCTCATTTCTCTTGATGAGTACAGCAGATAGCATCCTCAAAACAGCACCCTCATTCATTACCTTTACAGCCACATCCAAATGGACATCTAACTAGGGCCTGGAAAGTAAGCACCATTAACTGTTTGTCTGATTAGGCCCTTTTTATATGCAACTCCAACTTGATGATTCATTACAAGTCATGCTTTGAAGTAGCAGCAAAGAGTTTTCTTGGCTGAAAGACCCCGGTGTTGTTCTTTCTTGCCTCTAA